GAACAGGGTCTCCTGTCTGAACTTATGCCAGGATTCAGACATATCTATACAAAGCAGATGGGCTGGCCCCAGCAAAAGTCTATTTGTCTGAGGGTTGATGAGCCTCCAGAGAAAGAATCCATCCGGAAGGAAAAGGAAATCCCACCTGATGAGCTCAACCCGTAACAAGACCGAATCCTCTGCAGGGCAGAGAGTCTGAAAATAAAATCCAAATGAGTAAATCACCAGCGCACGAGTCGTGCTGGTCAGGTATTCCATCAGCAGGTGTAACGTGAAGAAGGGGACTAAGGTGTTCTTCCTTCCTTGCTTTGAAACAGAACATAAATCAGCTTTATAAGCAGAACATAAATTCGCTCCTTGAGGGCTTCAGGCACTGGGCTGTAGTGAGAAAGGTAACACCGTAGGCTGCTCAGAGGAAGTGGGAGGGTGGCTGAACGGAGTGACCCACACAGATGCCCTGCAGTGGCCCCAGGCAGGAGCAGTCATGCATTCACGAACACATGTGAGACATGGTCTAGAACCCCAGAAATATCTTGGGGGTGATTTGTTGTGAGCTGAAGTTCCACATGCATTGGTAGAAGGAAGAACTAGGGAAATTTGGATTATGACTGTTAATGGTCCCTAGTTATGTGGGTGAGACCTAGGGAAAAGTTTAGTTGAACTAGGAAAGTATGAAATATAGGTTCCTCCATGGAACAGCTAGCAAAATAACAGCTGACCTTTCCCTGCAGAAGTTCAATCTTGAGACCTTTGATCAGCGGAAATGTTTTCTCTTGAATTCTCTCTCTTGTAGCAAGTTTCATGAGCCCTAAATGCTCTTCTTTGCTCACGTCTAGGGCAGGGGTCCTTCCTAGACCCTCAACTCTCCACATGCCCATCTCGTGCCAATTAAGTCCTGTGAGCAGCCTCTGCCACCAAGCACCAGGGGTAGGTGCAGAAGTGCCCATCCCAGCAAGAGAGGGAGGAGATAAAGGGAGGCGTCAAGGCCTCTGTGCCCACGTAGCACAAAGACAGATACTGAGACAAAAAGATATAAAGACACTAAGCACAAATAGCTATTTTATTTTCTACCATTTAGTTTTCTGTATTTTCCAAATTATCTATAGAAAAAGGTAAATATTACTTTTTCAAAACCAAATGTAAAAAGTACAAGTAAGAACAGGTTTTCACTAGCTACACGTATGTCTTATGTGATTTCCCATACGGTCACTCCTCAGGCATTCAAACTTTGTTATGTAATAAACAGGAGTCGTAGAGGGCAACCCTCCTGGTTGGGACAGAGGCAGGTCTACTGTGCAGATAATATGAACAGGAGGTGCAGCTAAGCACTGCCAAATTTGACCAGCCTGTGTTTTTCGGGGCCTCCTCAGGGACAAGGACCCTGTCATGGAAGGAGACAGACGTTAACATATTTTCCCACCTCCGCTAAATCTTGGCTCATCCAGCGCTAGTGATTGACAGCCCCCAAAGGCAGTTGGGCAGCTATTTGAAAGAGGGGTCCATGGAGAGAGGCCTCCCCCACCTGTTACTCTTTTCTTTATCACTTCGCATCCATAGGGGTCCCTAAGCCCCAAGAGAGGGGTCAAGTGCAAATCTGGTAAACCAAGAAGCCCTTGCAGTTGTCAACTTAATTAGCCTTCAGGAAAAATATATGGCTATATGAGCACAGTGGAGTTGCTATAGAGACAGGCACACGAGGCGCATTTAGAACAGGGCCTCATCACATCACCCGATAAAAATAAGACCCAGGCTTTTTAATAGAATGAATTACTTAAGTTTTATATTTAACAGGGACGACACCAAGGCTATTACTGGTTTTCAGAACATTTTAGGAATCTGGGCTGCCTGCTTCTGCATATGTTAACAGCCATCACGACATATGCTCTGGCGGATGGCAATTAAGAACTGGAAGCCCACGTGTCTCTCCCACCCCTTGAGATGAGAGATGGTTCTTCTCACTCCGGATTTGTCCTTGTTTCATTGGATGAGAGATTTTCAACGTGTTTCAGAGAAAGGTCTGTGGAAGAGTTATGTTGTGCTCTGCACTGGGCCTTTTGCGTACATTATTGCTAATCACAATAACAACATTAGGCAATAATGATCTCATTTTGCAGGTAAAAAAAACGAGGCTCAGAGAAGTCCAAAACTTTCCCAAGATCACACAGCGAATATGTGGTGGAGCTGGGATTCAAATCCAGGTGTCCTCATTCCAAAGCCATTGCTTTGTAAGACATCAACTACAACCTCCACATAGACAGGAATCCGACACGAGGTGGGTCTAAAGAGATTTACCATTTTTATCGGTATATGGCATGGACCTTGTTACAGTTTGATCTTTCTCCTAAGGTTGTCCCCAAGTGAGTGGGTTCCAAGAAATAGTCCACAGAAATTCTGAACTCCGCTAACGAGCAGCTCTCCAATTATCCACAGCAAGTGTTACTCTGAGACTAACTTCTCCTTCCCATCCAACATGCTTCTGGCTGCCTCTTCCCTAAGCCAGAGATTCCAAACTGAACATCACTGAGAAAGTGCCCTCTCTGCTCTTGCATCCACGAAGCTTAATTACATGAAATCAAGCTAGACATGCAGAGTGAAGCTCTTTTTGTTGACCATTTTTTCTTTGGATTATTCATGACCTTCCTACTCTGCAGAAAGATGTCTCCAAAACCTCCTTTTCTTTTTTTAAACAATTTTCCAACAAAGGCCTACAGAGTAGACTCAATCTGTGCCCCTCAGGCTCCAGTCTCTACTTGTTGTGGGAAATGGTGGTGCCGGTGACAAGGTTGGGCCTAAGGCAATGGTGGGGACGGGGATAGGATAGACAGTCCGGTCGGGAAACCAGGCTGGTGGTGAGGGCAGTAGTGACGGCGGTGCTTACACCCCTCCCCACTCAGTTCACCCACTAAGTGTACCAACAGGAGGTGTCTGGGCTTCAAAGGATCTGAGAAAGCATGTCTAGGACAACACTGAAATACAGAAGTTCTAACCAAAGCATCAAGCCAAATGAACAAGGCAGAGGGGCAGAGGGCAGGGAGAAGCCACAGACCAGAGGCCGAGACTCAGGCCAGAGCAGGAGGTTTAGAATCAGAGGGAAGGTAGTGGTGCCTCAGAAGGGTCCCTGAGTGGTAGGACTTGGCGCTAGGAGCTTTCTGGGCTGCCTGCAGCCTGCGGTGTCGCTTAGCGTGGAGCTGAGGAAGCTGTCTGCTGGGACCAGCTCCACCTCCCCGCGATGTTCAAACCCATCCCTCCTACCTCTGACACCACCCCCACACCCCTCCCAATCCCCACACAGTCTGCTGCTGTCCCACCAACAGATTCAGACCTGGATTGAAAGACAAGGAAATGAGATTTCAAACTCAAGTTAATTCCCCATGTGACCTTTGTAATTTATTTCACCCTCAGAGACATACTTCCTTCTTTCTTATATTTGCAGAGCAATTTGTTAGGTTTTTTTTTTTTTGTAGATTTTAAAATAATTATTCTAGATTGCACGTGGTGGTTCATGTAATTCCAGAATTTGGGGAAGCAGGAGGATTGCTTAAAGCCAGGAGTTTGAGATCAGTCTGGGCAACATAGCAAGACCCCATCTCTACAAAAAATTTTTCAAAATTAGCTGGTTAGAGTAGCTGTAGTCGCAGCTACTCGAGAAGCTGAGGCGGGAGGATTGCTTGAGCCTGGGGGTTGGAGACTCTACTGCACTCCAGCCTGGGTGACGGAGCAAAATCCTGTCTCTAAAAAAATTAGTAATAATAATTTTTTGACTTCAGTGAAACATATAATTTACTTAAAAATAATATGGAAAAAGAAAATTGGGGTGTAGGAATAACTTCTTCACAGAAGTATTTTTACCGTAATATCAGTCTAGCAAAAGTTGTCTGCAAATGCAGAAATTCCTATGTGCATCAAAGACACTCAATAAGTATTTTTCTTAACAAATGAATCATTTCGTGCTATTGAAATAATTCGATTATGTGCTGCTGGCAGGGAGCTAAGCAGACTCCATGGGCCAGCCTGGAAATCTAACTCCTGCTGTAAGCAACAGGCACGCACAGGCTTTGGACACGGGCAGACGCTCTGAGTTCTGGCTTTGCCACTCATTAGCTGTGGTAACTCACGCAAGTCATTTAACCTCTCTAAGCCTCAGCTTCCTCATCTGTAAAATAATATCAGTCTCATGCCAAGGATAAGCCCAGGGAGGAAAGTGGCCAGTGGGCTGTCAAGGGCCAGGCACAACTTTGACGCTGGGTGAATGCGGGGACCAGGACGGTGAGCAGGGAAAGCTGGACCCTAACCCTTCCTGCCCCCACAGCCCTACGGCTCCCTGTGCTCTCCTGCCAAAAGTGTTTGGCCCTGCCCCCTCAATTGTGATCTCTTTCCATGAAAAGGTCTCAAGGGTAACTGGCAGGCTACTGTCATCACCTGCCACCAAGCCTTCTGCCATCCATCTTTACCCTTTGCCCTCTAAATAAGGAAGCCAATGCTGCCGGGCCAAGAACTTCTGCCCAATTTGGGTCCTGGTCTCCCTCTTCCCCTGGGCCCCTGGCCAGTTCCCTCCTTCCCCGAGAGATGCTCCCTACTCACTCCGTTCCTGCCTCATGGGTGGAATGACAGTGGCTCCCAGAACCCCTGGGGAGCGTGGAGGGTGATGGGGGTCTGGGGAGGCAGCCAGGCCCGGGAGCAGGTTAAAGTTACAGCCCTGGATAAGCGAGCTGGGCCGGCTGACGTCAGGGTGATGATGGCTGGAGGGGAGGGCCGGGCTGCTGAACTAACTATAAAGATAGGTCAAATCAAATATCATCCACTCGGGACAGAGCAAGCGGGCGAGCTAGAGAGCGTCCCCGAGCCATGGTCCCTACCGGCCGCGGCTCAGCCTGGGTCCCTCTGTTCTCAACCCGAGTGCCCGATGCAGGCTTTGGTTTCATGTCAGCAGCCTTCATCCGCCTTCCAAAAATAAGCCCCTGCCGCCATGCCGAGGGGAGAAAAACAAGAAGGGCGGTATTTTTAGGGCCATTAATTCTGACCACGTGCCTGAGAGGCAAGGTGGATGGCCCTGGGACAGAGGCTGTTCATCACTATGTCCCGGGGAGCAGGACGTCTTCAGGGCACGCTGTGGGCTCTCGTCTTCCTAGCCGTCCTAGTGGGCATGGTGGTGCCCTCGCCTGCAGGCACCCGCGCCAACAACACGCTGCTGGACGCAAGGGGCTGGGGCACCCTGCTATCCAGGTCTCGCGCTGGGCTAGCTGGAGAGATCGCCGGGGTGAACTGGGAAAGTGGCTATTTGGTGGGGATCAAGCGGCAGCGGAGGCTCTACTGCAACGTGGGCATCGGCTTTCACCTCCAGGTGCCCCCCGACGGCCGGATCAGCGGCACCCACGAGGAGAACCCCTACAGTGAGTGCCCATTGCAGCCAGTTGGGATGCTGGGGGGCTTGGGCTCAAGCAGGGCTAAAAGGCGAAGGGACCTTGCTCCGGTGGACGGGATCCTGCCGTAACCAGGAAGAAATGCTATTCCCCACGCAGATGACTCAGTGCGACCTGCCTAGGTGCAGGCTCAGCGTGCATCTCGGTGTGCTCTGCCTGCACCCCATGGAGCCGCTGAGGCACTAACCGCTGCAGCATTACCGGCCCCTCTGCCGCCTCGTAAGACCACTGGAACCGTAAGGCAGGGGTGGGGAGAATGAGTTAGGATACCGGGACCAAATTAGACACAAGCTTATTTTTATTCAGCTTCCCTCTTTGAGAAGGAAAGGCAAGAGGTTTGCAAAATTTCCGGCTGAAGCACATCTTTTTTATTTCAACCTGCTCCCTCTGTCCCCAGGTTCTTATCCTACAGGTTGACAGGTTGCCGCGTGGATAGTCTCCTCTGTGTGGCTGTATGTTTGCGAGATTGGGTGGCTTAAGATTTGTTGAAACATGTGGAGTATACATTAGAATTACTAATAATCAGAGTTCATCTCTTTCACCCAAGTCAAGGACCTCGAATGATTATGTCAGTGAAATCTCAGATAAACAGAGACATAAGTGGTCATGGTGGTCGGTCCCTAACTCTGATGTCAGAACCTTCACTTGCAGAACCAGATTTGTAACAGCACAATGGCAGGACTGAACGAGTCCAGAAGGCAGGATCTTCTAAAGTTAGAGGGATCCAAGGCGGGGTGATGGGAGGTCTGACTTTCCAGGAGCAGGGACCTGACTTAGGGGCCCTGCCGGCCCAAGTCCCCACTCTGATGTGCACAAGCCTTAGGTAACCCGGCCCCCATTTCCTTGCAGGCCTGCTGGAGATTTCCACAGTGGAGAGAGGTGTGGTGAGTCTCTTTGGGGTGCGAAGCGCCCTCTTTGTTGCCATGAACAGTAAAGGAAGATTGTACACAACGGTGAGTTCATGGGGCCAGGGGGAGCCCAGGTTGCATGAC